ATTTTTTAAAAAATATATTTACTTTTATTTTCTGCATATTTATGTATTGCCTGCATGTATGTATGTGCACCCATACACATGTATTGTGAAATGCCCATGGAGGTCAGAAAAGGGTGTCAGATCCCCTAGAACTGGATTTATGGGCAGCTGTTAGCTGCCAGGTGGGTGTGCTGGGTTTTGAACCCGGGTCTTCTGTAAGAACAGCCAATGTTCTTAACTGCTGAGCCATCTCTCTAGCCCCAATTTTAAGGATTTAAAAAGCTGTAATGAAAATCCTTTAGATAAGAAAAGCGGCTGTACATGTTGGCCCTTTTCTTTAATCCCAGCACTGGAGAGGCAGAGACAGGCAGATCTCTGTGAGTTTCAGGCCAGTCTCTTCTATAGATAGTTCCAGGCCTGCTGGGGCTACAGGGAGACCCTGTCTCAAAGACAAAAAAAAAATAAAAAGAGAAAAGAATAGCTATTTATATATCCAATAGCAAAATAAAACAAGATATCCCACACATTAAAGTATTTCTTACACATTTAGAGCCATCAACACAGTTTCTGAATGTGTTGTTCTGATCCTCTCCCCCAAAATTTAGGATTTATAATTAGTCTCTTTGTGTTGTGTTGCTGGTTCAGAATGACATTACAAAACCCATCACATTGTGATTTCATGGGCAGCACATATACTAAATTGGCACAGTACAGTGAAGATAAGAATTGTCCCTGCCCATGGATGACAAGTAAATTCATGAAGTGTTCCATATTAAAAAAAAAAATCGTGGGGGCTGAAAAGATGACTCCGGAGTGAAGAGCACTGGCTGCTCTTTCAGAGGAACGGGTTCATTTCCCAGCACCCACATGGTGGCTAATAGCGGTCCGTAACTCTAGTTCCAGGGGATCCAGTGCCCTCTTCTGGCCTCTGTGGGTTTCATACACATGTGATGCATTTACATACATATAGGCACTCACACATACACATGGAATAAAAATTAAAAAAATCATGTTAATACATGAAAAGAAGGAGAAGATATGACATTGGGAAGTGCATGTGGTGGGCCTGGGTCTGGAAAGTTGGAGGGAGGATTCGGCATTGTAGTCACTGTATTTGTGTATGAAATATATAATAAAAAAGAATTCTGTGTATAGGCTTAATACATTGGTATACTTAGTCTTTTTTATTATTTTTATTTTATATGTATGCATGTGTTGCCTGCATGTAGGTAAGTGCACTCATGTTGTACAATGCCCGTGAAAGACAGAAGAGACTGTCAGATCCCCTGGAACTGGAGTTATGGACAGTTGTTAGCTGCCATGTGGCTGCTAGGATTTGAACCTTGGTTTTCTGCAAGAACAGTCCATGTTCTTAACCGCTGAGCTATCTTTCCAGCCCCAGCCTTTTTTATTTTTAATTTTTTTTGAGACAGGGTATCCCTTACCTGAACTTGATATGTAGACCAGGGCTGCCCTCAATCTCACAGAGATCTACCTGTTTCCAGATTGTTGGATCTAAAGGCATGTGCTACCATGCCAGGCACTATTTTTTAATTTTTAAGAATTATGTGTACATATGTCTGTGTGTGGGTATGTGTATGAGTGACTGCAGTGCCTGTTAAGTTCAGAAGAGGGCATTAGATTTCTTGAAGCTGGAGTTACAGGCTGTTGTGTCCAACATGGGTACGAGGAACTGAACCTGGGTCCTCTGTAATACAAGCAGGCACTCCTATCCACTGGGCCATCTCTCAAATACCCATAGCAAGCTCTTAAAATAATAAATCTTTACCAATAAACACCCATAAAATGATTTAAAAAAACATAGAAAACACCACTGTAACCTTTAGGAGGATGGTGTGTACCCTCAGTTTCTGTCCTCATAGTACATTTTTTTCATTGAATTTAAAACTTTTTTTTTGAGATAGGGTCTATCTTTAGCCCCAGCGGGCCTAGAACTCACTATGTAGACCTGGTTGGCCTTGTTTTCAGAGATCTGCCTGCCTATGCTTCCTGAGTGCTGGGATTAAAGACATGTGCCACCATGCCTGGCTGAATACTTCTATTATAAGATTTGTCAAATTGAGTGCCATAAGGAGAATCTTATTGGAAAAGGAAATATTAAATTCTCAGTGTACTACTTATTTTGAATTATTCTTGGGACTCCCTCTTCTCTTCTTAGACAGGACTATGATGCACAAGATGAATGGCACTAGCCAAGGAGTGTCAATGCCCCACTTCCTCAGAGATGGAAGGTGACTTTTTATTCATTCTATGTCTAGAACAGAACTAAATATACATTTTTCTACAGAAGGAGAATCAGTCCCTATCAGTCATTTCCAACTTTCAAGGAAAAATGAAATCTTTTAGCATAGGGATGTCTGGGTCCCATCCATGTAGCTTTTGATTCAATGAGTATGTAGTATAGCCTGAGAATTGAGATTCTGAAAAAGCACCTGAGGTAATATTAGTGTGCAGCCAAGGCTGAGCTCAAAGATGGAAACTGTGATACTCAACTGTCACACAATGTCCAAAAAAAAAAAAGCATCAGCAAAACATCTGACCTTTGGTGATTCCTGTGACTGTTTATATCTGCTTGACAAGTGTGGGTTCCCAGATTTAAATTTTCTCTGAACAATTTGAAACATTTTAAATAACAATATTCCCACAACAAGCCTAACTAAATAGCACTTTGATTTGTAATGGAACCAGGAGAATGATTTGGAAAAAATACTCAGTGTATTGCTGGTTTTTCATTGTGAAAAAGTGGAATCATATTTAAAAATTGTTTTGAAAGTTGGCATTCAAAAAGACTTCAGCGATATCTTGTTCATTTCATTGATGTAAAGGTATTCTAAAGTGATTAGGCACAGTGTTTGTAAAATGACCAAATTTGTTAAGTTGCTTAAAAATAGAGATACTAGCTGAATATTGTGGTGAATCCCATGCCTAGGGAGGTGGAGGTAGGAGGATCAGGAGTTTAAAGGTCACTTGGACTGCAAAGTGAGACCTTGAATCAAGAAAAAATTATATAGGTATCCCATCTATGACTCAGCATTCAGAAGTCAGTAATTCTCTGCATTTTAACCAGTCATGGGTCTCCGTGTTAATCACCATCTCCTGCAAAAAGAAATTTCATTAGTGAGAATTGAGAAATGCACAAATCTAATCTATGGGTCTAATAATGACAAGTCATTAGGAATGGTTTCATACTATGTCCACTTAGCAGAATAGATGTAGTAGCTCAACATTATGACCTGTGACCCATCTAGCCTCAGGTTCTTTACCTTGATAAGTGTGTCAGGTGTGGGCTTCATCTTGTTAAGTAGACCTTAAATCCATTTCAAAAGTGATTTGTTACTCCTATAACATTTGTGCCACTATTGCAGCAGTGCGCATATCTTGTCAAGTAAGTCATTATTGTAGCTCACAGGGTTCATATTTATATCACACCTTGTCCTTCCAAGGCTCAGAGATCACTGAAGAAGAGGGTGTAGAAAGACCATAAAAGTCACAGGTGGTGGATGAATACAAAAAACCCGTGTTTTCAGTGGACTGTAACTGGGATGACAGAGTATATGGGCTTCAGTGGGCTGGGGGGGGGAGTTATGGGAGGGTGCCATTTGGGAAGTGGATATACAGATGAATGATTATTTGGCATGTTTTATATGATATACACACACACAAAATCAGCAAATTTAAAAAATGACATATTTGAGGAAGAAGCATAAAAATTTACTTCATGTTAATTAGTAGAGGTGATAAACGGTACCACTGAAATCTACCTGATGACTTTATATCCATACTCAGGTGCCAAGGATCTGAGTGTAACTGACTGTGACTAGTAATAATCA